TATTCGCGAAACTTGTCCTTTAACAGCGAAGGCGTCGCCAGCCACATTTTCGGGAACCGATGTTCCCGCTGTGAACGATCGTTTCGACGGCTCGCACGTTCAATGCTGAGTCTATTGTTACATAACTCTTGTCACGCTGAATCTTTGTCTCAGGTCTTTTGAGCAGTTGCTCTGTTCATGATGGTACATGATGCCTCGAGATTCAATGTCGCTAGACCTACTTGCTGTTTTCATAAACTAGGGTTTCAGAGGGCCTTGATTACGAGCTCTCATTAGCGCTAAATTTGCGACAGTTCAGCTGTGAATAATGAAAAGGATGAGTGGCTTACAAGGCTTTGATGCAGCATAGCCGTGTGACCAACGTAAGCGCGGACCGCACCACATGGCTGTATCTGTAGGCATCCACACCATTACCATAAGGCATGTACGCAAGAAACTATGCAACAGTCCTAGACCAAATACATCCCTTCTCCGGTCAATGTTGTATGTGCTTGATCCAGGAAATCGTCCTCTACGCAAGCTGGACAGGACACGAAACCCAATCAATCCAAGAATTGGCGCGCGAGTGGTCCAAGAACAGGCTTGCATTAACTCGCTATGACGGTATCAGCCTGGCAGGTGGGCAGAGCCTCAATGGTACTCATCCATGGGAACAGTGGGAACGACTTCATCCCTGATGCGCCTGGATGTGGCGTCCGTCCTGCATTGTAGCCCCAAAGTTACAAGGTATTCTTAGCTAGGAAGCAATCCTCCCCGCCATTATGCAGAAAGGGGGGTAGTTAATAGGCAGGGAGTGAGCCATCTATGCTGTGGCGTGGATGCAGGAGCTCGGCTTAGCATTGTGATAAGAGGGTTTGCTTTCACTGTGTTGAGACTTGATGGGACTCCCGCTGTTTGAAAAAAACGCCTAATAGTAGCACATATTCTGTCCCAAATCTTCATTTGCTACGTCAAGACGCTAGACATCCCCCCCAGAGCTATGTATCTGGAAAAACTACTAGCCTCCTAGTCATACATAGACTGTCTGGACACATCGTACGGTACCCTCAACGCTACCCACAGAGCTCTAAGTTGACATAACTATTACTCAAGCACAATGCCGACTGCGTCGCCATCATTCCAACCAAGCCCTCTGCTGTTGTCGTATTACAATGAGCATGTCCGCCATGTAAAGGTCACTGCCTAAGCATATCACCTCCACATCGCCTGTACCGTCTGCAAAGCCCGCGCCTTCTGAAGGTTACTCGATGGAGTTCTGTATGGCATACCTATAGACACGCTGTACGATCATCACCCTGACCACCTCGATCACGCGAAGAAGACGTTTTGGCAACCATGCCTGAGTTCCAAAGAATACTATACATAGGGGGATCGAGTTGACACAGCCAAACCCATCGAAGATGAGCATAAACATTGTCTCCGCAAGGCACAATCGGAAGAAGCCAATGGACCAATACATACGTCATCAAATGAAATGAACTCAAGCTTCGTCAAGGATTCTTCATCTTACCTGCAGTAGTCTGTCGGCGCTATGACGGAAGAGTACACAAGGGAGTGTAAAGGAGGATCGACAGATGCGCTGGCAAGATGAGGGAGTCGTAAAGCGAAACTGCAAAGGACACCACGACGCAGAGAATAGGGGGGCAAATCATTTCCAGCGCAAGGCTGTTCGTCATCTCTGATAGCAAGGATCTGCTATCACGAAGTGCTTGCGCTTCAGAACGCAAGTGGGAGTCAGTTCTCATACGATTGTGCTGAAGGTAGACATGCTACGTTATGTACTGGTGTCACGATTGTAAATAATGGTTCAATCGTAAGAGACGTGTTCTAATGTGCCTATAGATGCGGAATTACGAAGTTACTTTGCCCTCCTCTTTGGGGCTAGTGACCCCGGAACAAGTGCCCGCCTGAACCACCTATTCACCTCGACCACCACCCTGGATCACAGAACACTGTAGACGATTGACCGCCTTATCCCCCGATAATAGAAGATGTCTGCTCTATCACCGTTCTTTTATTTTTAAAAAAAACATTCCGTAAATCACATCCTATGCACCGGGTCAGTGTTTGAATAGTACTGATAGGTTGCTGCCAAGGAAGCGGAGGACGAAGGTCCTCCCCCCCCATACGTGCGTGTTAACTACCACGCAACCGCCGCCATCTCACACCCGACACAACCTGTCAACCAAACTCTCCACTTTCTCTTTTTCATCTCCGTTTGCAGAAATTGTCGTTCGTTACCCTTTTCCATTTAGATACCGCCTTGCCTCTGCGTCCTGGCACCGTTTTATACTACGGTCGCTCTCATCTTCCAACCGGATAGAGGTGCATTAGGAGGAGCAGCAATCTCTCTGTACCTCTCAAACCCTCGATCTGAGAGCGCTTAAACATCTGAGTCTGGCCCAAATAGGCGGACAGGATTGCTCTCTCGTTCCCGCTCGGCAGCACACCATGCATCGACAACGGCTATCTGGTGGCTCAAACAGCCCTCCAAGGATGTATTCTCAAGCCCAAAACCGAACATCTCGTCCATACACCAACCTGGTAGCTGGCTATCAAAACCAGGCGTCAGGATCAACCCTTCAGCGTAGCTACGGGTTGACTCCATCCCCTCAACGGCAGCCAGGTCAACAAGTACCTGGTACTCAATCACAGGGAACAGGTCACTTGCCTGCTACAAGTGGCCTCACGTACGCTGAGGTTGTCCGGAACCACACGCCTGTCGCCAGCCAATACAGCTCAGCACGTCTATCGAGAACAGGCTCCACTCTTGCTGAGAATTTACAGCCTTGCAGCCCCCCTCGCCGCGGTCCTGGCACAGCACCCAGAAGGGACTACACGAAAGACATGACGGATGATATCATGTTAGATCCAGACTCGTTGTCTGATGAAGGGTTGCTTCTAATGTACACTAACGAGGGCGACTCAGAAGGTGCACGAGAGCCATCCCCTTTCAACAGCATGGTTCCCGGAATGTCTGTGTTGCCAACACTTCAGGGGCCAGTTCTTGAAAAACTGACAAAAGATGATGGGCCTTGGTCAACTTTTCATCTTCAAGCAATGCCGCAAACGGGCCCAGGTGCATTTCAAGTCAACCATATGGGTGAAGCTACTCACTTGGCTGCCCCTGGCATGTATAACCCGTCAGACTCGCAAAGATCCGGTCAATACATCGACTACAGAATTGCGCATGATCAACCCATTGAACCACGCAGCGGGTACGGACAAGCCAGAGGTAGACCTACCCAAATCATGGATCATCGGAGAATTCCCAGACAGGTTCATCCCAACCACCATGTTTCAGGTGGTACAAATCTCCGCCAGACCAACATAAATCCTCCTGCTTGGTAAGTAATGCTTTTGGTTTAGTGGGATGGAGTGACTGATGATAAAAGGTCGGGCGATGGCCGCTCCCACCCTTCCGCTTCGACGACCTCGATACCTCCCGAACATCGACATTGCCCTCACTGCGGCGTGCAGTTCAAAGGAAATAAGGACGGAAAAGGGAATCTTGCGAGACATATCCGCCATAAGCACACGGATTGTCCTCAGATCTGTTGCGACTACTGTGGTCAACTGTTTAAGCGGACTGACGCCCGTCTCAAACACCACCGGAAAAAACACCCAGGCTTTCCCACTCCCAGCTTAAGCTCTCAAAGGTCTCGTCAGAGCAGCATGCAATTCCAAGCTGGCACACCATATGACCTATACAGTAATGGAAGTCAAGGCTTAAATAGTTTCGAGGCATCGCAAGACAACACTGCAAACATGGGACAACCATACCAACATCCCAATGATCTCCTTGGACTTGCAGATCAGTACTAGGTCGAAGCCATTGCTGTATTAAGGGATAATCATAGATGTCAGGCTGCATCTACTGCGATCCACCAACACACTTGGTACGGTGCCATTCTTACCGATGGTAACCACACACCACCACTCCACGAAAAATAAGATGGCACCTTGATCCAACCATGATCTCACAGCCGCCTCAATTCTCTGTCGACAAAACGGCACACTGCCTTAGTCATCGAGTCTCCTTCTTTCTTTCTTCTCTTGTATTTGACTGTGTTTTGGTTAAGACCAAAGACCAACAAAGACCAAAAACACTAGAAAAGACACCAACGACCTTTATGAGAAAAAAACGCAGCGCATTCCTTTACTACACTTCGTTCTCTCTACTCCAAAACAAACCCAAAACCAAGGAAAAAAATCCAATAAAACCAACAAAACCCACAAAAAAGTAAGACGTTCCACAACGCTACGCTCGTTCTTTACGACTATTCTTCCAACACTTTCACCACAAAATCTAGTACTCGCATGAGCATCATGATTTCTTTCTTGCGTTTCAACATCCGCTCGCTCGCGTCGCAAACACTAGGGTTTTGGTTTTTTTTAATCAGGCGTTTGATACGTAGATAAACGAGGCACACGCAAAATCTTTTCTGGATGCGATACAAGCGACTGTATCATGGTGTTTATCTAAAAATTGATTTATTCGGAAGGATCTTCTGGACAAAAGAGTTGGATATGTTTCAAGGATTGGGGCTTTGTTTATTTTCTTGGTATACGATTCTTATGTTGGGTTTGGTGGTTTTTTTATGAGGGTTTTTATGGAGGATGGAAGGTTTAGTTGGATGATTGGATGATTGGATGGTTTTTTTTGTGATAGGTGAAGGGGAGTGGGTTTGCTGGATTAGGTGACTTGAGGTCCCGTGACGCGTTTGTACCCTAGTAACGCGTTGATCCAACGACATTGATGAACTTCATGACTCATCAAACATTATTTGCATGATTTCTTTGATATTTATGTGGGAGTTTCATTAAGATATATTTGCGAAAGATGGTGTTGCAATGACTGCATCTGCATTGGACTTAAGGAAGTTTCTACATGGTGTGAGAGCTTTCCCCTTGAAGTTCAGCATGTGAGACACACCCAATCAGGAATCATCATCGCATTTCATTCTTTCAGCTCTGATTTCTTCCACAAGATGACGCGTTCATGGTCCCAGCGGGCCAGTGTTGGCGAAATTACCAGTCCTCCTTGATGGCTTGCGACTGTGCGAAAAACCACCAGCCATTGGTTGTCGGATCATTGGTGAGTTTTGAAAGGAAGATGTTGGTTCTTGATTTAGGTATGGGTTCTGACGTGTTCCACCGAGGACCGGAAGGCGACTTCTCCGAGGTTGAGAAGGTGTATCAACTGAGACATATTCTTTCTATGGTCAGCTTGACGCCCATGAAAACCACGTGTCCAAAATCAACACCATAGAATAGACTTACGACCACTGTGAACTCTGCTACCGAGACCGCGTCCATGCAGTTGTGAATTGAAAGGAGGACCAACGTGAATGCTGCCTTGCTGCTGTCGCCCACTACTACCAGAGCTTCTACTGATGACCCTCTTATGCAGTCTGTCGCCTGTCTGTTGTGGTGGGCCTGTCTGGCTGAAGTTCGCAGTACCAGACCGGGCGCCCGGCAAGCGGTCGATGAAGCGATCTCCCCGGGCTGATTTCAGCGCGAACTCTGCCTCATCACCGGCAGCATGGGCTACATGCGAAGCCATAACTTGGGCTTTGAGTGCCTGGTAGAGATTCTGTGTTCTCTGGTGTGCCTTGGTCTTTTCTTTGAAGGCTTCCGCAAATCCATGGTTCTTGGTCTCGAGCTCTACGAGGTCTGCTTGCATAGCTAAAGGTCATTAATTTCAAAGTCTGCTATTAGGGCATGCATGATGCAAACCTTGCATCTTGTCCTGAAGCGCTTTGATCTGCGCATTGGCATCGTGGATGAGCTGATCCATCTGCTGGCTCAATGTGTTATATTTTTCAGTGAGGCCCTTTGCGAGGTGCTCTTGGTAGATGATCTCTTGTGATGTCTGGTAACTATGAAAGGCCAAGCCACGGCTTGCACACTCCATGATGATTGTCGGGCTAAGGCCACTCAATACTGAAGTCTTGTAGTCTTCTGATGGATTGAGACCTGCAATGACTACATCATCTGGGTTAGGAAGCGGCGCGCTACATGCTGGACAGACTCGTTGCGCATTTGTCGATCTTGAAAGACTGGTAGCATCTGCACAATTGGTGCAAAAGATGTGACTGCATTTCTGTTAGATATGACGACGCAACGAAACAAATACAAACCTGCAAGTTGTGACAAAAGCGCGCTCATGGAGCTGCGTCCGACATTTTAAATCATTACAACGCAGGACATACTCCATGCTTGGTGCGGTGGCGATTTAAAGAAGCTCTAGGGTTGGTGGGTGAAGGAAATGTGCTGTAAACGCGAAAGCACGTGATCAATTTCGCAAAGCAGGAGCGACCAGGTGAGTGTATGTGCCCGTGTAAGAGGGTGATTTCCATTCCGGGTCGTAATGTGGTATCTCGCTGTGCATCAATGATAATAAAAAATAGACTGTCCTTTTTCCTTTAGCAAATCACCTATCGTCCTTGTCAGGCTTTCGCCGTTGTCTTGTGCTCTTCTTCCCAGCTACTGCGGTTTCATCCTCCTCTTCATCACGACCCTTGGCCAGATCCTGTTCGAGGCCCCATTCCTCGTTATCATACCAATCCTCGCCATCACTCATCTCTCCTACATGGCCTTCTGCTTTCGACCACTTGAAAACGTCGTGCCTCAGACGGTCAGCTTCCAGCAAGCCGTGGTAGAGGTCAGCCGTGATCCGCGCGACTTCTTCTTGCTTTTGAACGTATGCCATAAGAAGCATGCGCGTTTCCTCTGCCTCGTTTGGCGGAAGACCAAAGTCGCGGTCTGGCAACGACTCGGTAGGGTGTATGAAAAGGGGGTGTATTGCGTTGACATCGCTTGATGGTGAGTGAGGAGGAGAAGGGGTCGAAGCTGCGTGCGCTCGAGCTCGCGTGCGTGTCGTCATCCTATGCGTCTGCTGCGATGCTGTGTCGGACACATCTTCGCCCATCGGAGAATGCTCTTCCTGGCCATTCTTTTGTGGTTCATCTGCATCACCGGTATGTGTCCCATTTGTCACGGGTTCGGCACCGTTGACTGCTTCGGGTCCAGCGTTTCCATTAGTATTGTCTACTCGGTCAGTCCCATTGGGCTGTACGGCGTCCTCCATATTCACGTCTTGTGCACCATCGACCACCTCCTGCATTTCAGTGTCATGTGTGCGCTGGTCTTCGCCCTCCTCAAAACGCCGACTTGGGATTCTTGAGCGTGACATTCGAAATGATGTATCGCTCATTGCTGCCAGGGCAGCAGGCGCGAACATAGAATCCCCTTGTAGTTTCACAAACAGGTTCTTGGCTCGCGCATTGGTGATCTGCTCTTTTCGCGAAAGAGCTCCGGCCTCGTTGGCAAGATCGGAGAGATGTCTGGAGGTATATGCAACGCTCAAGGCGGGATGGTTTGGTAGGTCGGCGGCGGAGGTCAATGGTGCAAGAAGGTCTGCATCTCAGTAAGCTCATGTCATGCCACGCATTCATGCGATGGGCACATACTCTCCAGATGTATATTTCCGTACGGGTTCTCTTCTACTGGCTCCACATCATCCTCGTCTTCATATTCGTCATCAACTTCGACAACGTCACCATCGGCATCGTATCGCGGAGGGTTGCGCTGCAAAATATATCTGTGATAACCGGCGTGCTCGATGCGCTACGGGAGGTCAGTGGACTGTCCCGCCCAGAGGTTATGCAAGTGGGATCGGACCTTCTTGTAAGGACGCGGGTCTGCGAGAAAGTCGGGATCGCTTGCGCGCGCGTAGTGGACTTTGCGCCGTAAGTCCTGCTTATTGCTGCCGAGGGCGGTTTCGGAATCTTCTGTGTCCGCTGGTAGGTGTTAGAATAACGGAAGCAGATGTCGCTATGTATGCTTACAATCATCTTTGCGCAACATCTTCCTTTTCATGTTGAAGATGGTATCGAGGATTTGCTGCTGTTGGCCTGCCATGGCGCTGACAGCCTCTGGGCAGCGCAGTAACAAGAAAGTATGTGAATAACAACTGGAAGCGCGTCTAGACAGAAGGTGCACCCGCTTTGGCGCTTGTAAGGAGAGGAGACTAGAAAGACACGTCGAACGAAAGGCGGATTATCGGTAGGAGCTGTCCACAAAGCTTGGGCTTGGGTAGAGGAATCGTTCAGCGGAGAGACGAGACAGGGTTCACTTAGCGCATCATTCATGGATTCCGCCCGCAATCTGACCACATGCCGACCGCCGATGTCATGGCTCGCCAACAATCTCTCGAGAACGTGCCAGGGCCCAGCAAACCGCGATTCGACTAATAACAAGACTGCAAGGTTAAGCCTGAGACCAAATCCACACGAGAAACTGGCGGCCTGTTACGCGATCCTCGAATTGGAACTTGCAGCCCCTCGGCCCCTCCGACTAGCATCCAGCTCACTCAAGCTGCCTGTGTTCTTTGGGCATGGGGCGCTGACTTGAGCCTACGTAGAGAATGGAGGCCTTTCCTTCAGACTTTGTGGTCCACAACCTACCTCTGATAGTCCTCTCTGGTCTGGCCACGAGCAAAGAAGTCGATCCACCCCCACCTGTTCAGCAAGTGCTTCCTGGGAGGGCCGTTACAAACATCAACTCGGAGATAGCGCCCGTCGAAGGCGAACGCGCAAATGAGCTCCTCGCCGAGTTTCTGCGTGCCGATGCAACCAATGCGCCGTGGAATTCGCGGGGGCTGGGTCGCAGAGGCCTCACGTACAGCTTCAGGATGCGGAGGGTAGGAAGGGTACGGGCGCCCGCAAACAAACATGGCGAAGGAGCGACGGGCTGATGTCTGCTAGAACTTCCAGCTGCCCCCGCACAAGGCAGATGCGCCCTCTCACTCCGAGACCACGCCTCCGGGCAGTCCCACTATTGCTGCAGCGACGTCGTGGATTCTGCATTCACCCATATCGCCCCTCTCGCCCGGGGCCCCCTCTTTCCCAGATGGTGTCATCGCTCCAGCCTGGGTTGCGAAGCACCAGCACTACATACCCGCCGTTTTCGTTTCCTTTTTCAACTTCACCACCGACCCCATTACAAACAGCCTCCATGACAATCAGCTGAAGACAGAGATCAACAAGATCAAAGGCCAGATACAAAAGTCCGACTACCGCACAAAGTATGTGGTGGTGCTGTTGAGCGACAAGACTATACTGGAGGCACCAGATATTGAGGAAAGGCTTGCGACCATCCGCCGTGCGACGGGCCTTGACCCAAAGAACTCTCTCTTCTTCCTGCCCCCAAGAACATCACGGGTTGAATTAGAGGCATTCGTCACGTCAGTCCTCGCCATATTACACCCTGTCTGTGTAGAGTACTACCGTGACCTCACAAAGCATGCACGGAGAAAGAAGAATCGAGGCACTATCCCTCCTCCCACAGCACCTCCTACGCGTGGAACTTCCCAGACATTATCATACCCTGGGTGGGGGGTTCGCTATGACTTCAAATTAGCTATCTTCGCCGAATTTCGTCAGGAGATGGACGCTGCGCAACGACACTACAACGCTGCTTTGGAGGCTCTGTTTGGAGCCGAAGGTCTATTTGAAACTACAGCCAGCTGGTCACCAAGATGGGATGAGATACGATTACTTTCAGACATCATCGCCTTACGACATATTCGCTGTCAGCTCTGGAACAACTACCCTACTTCTGCCGTGCAGACGTGGCTGCGGTACAAGTACAAGCTGCAAGATGTTTTGGATCGCCGAGGAAAGGGCACTGCAAACTATGGCTGGCAAGCATGGGAGTCTAGGTGGGCCCAAGCCATGGCAGAAATTGTGCAGCGGACAGATTTACCCGTCTTCAAGACGACAGATCCCAAGTCAGAATCAGACCCTTTGACAGAGATTCCAATCTCTCTATTCTCAGAACCTGAAAAACAATTTCCAATGGGAGAAAGATTGCCGCCATGGGAGCTGCTCCACCACGCTGGTTATTGGCACAAAATCGCCAGTGATCATGCCAAGAGGCGTTACATCCTGGCTCGGGAAATGCCTGAAGAAGATCGGACACCGCCAGGCATGTCTCCTGCTGCGAAGGTATCATCCCGGAGTCAAATATACGATAGCTATCTTGTTCCACAGCCGCATGAAGAGTACCCATTACCTGGTGTTGGTGGGAATGGCTTCGAGCATTGGAAAGACATTTCTTCCAAGATGAACGATGCAATAGCTCAGTTCAAAGCCCGGGGGCAGCATCGTAAAGTAGACCAGTTACAATTAGAGGTCGCCCGGACACTACTGCATGTCAACAGGTTCGAGGATGCCTTCAAGGTACTACGTCCACTCTGGGAGACCATGTCCTGGAGGAAAGAAAAGTGGTGGAATCTCGCTTCAGAAGTAGTTTGGGCCCTACACGAGTGTGCTTTGCGGGTGCAAGATTCTGAGGCCTATCTCGCTACTGAATGGGAATTGTACAGCCAAAGTCAGTATCGTCATGCGTTAATGATGTTGCTCCCGCTAATTCCATTCAGCAATCCCTGGCAAGACAAAGTACAAGTACGATCTCATGGCATGCTTGGACTCTTTCACAAAAGCAGCAGATGGCAAAATCACAGTGAACCTGAATGCTAAAGAACACATCTCTTGTCGTAGGTGCGACCTTATCTCTCAGTAGAGCCAGTACTAATGGAACAGTGTCTGTATCGTTTGCCTTTTCTGAAGCCGAAGGGAACGTGGGTGAACCGCTACAATCGCAGATTGCAATCACTTCGAACGCTCGCCCAGGGTCTACGCCCATTACCTTGTCATTTTTGCAATACCAATTCAGCGGCGGCTTGGCTGAAGTTCGCTTGACACACCAAGAAGGCGAAGAACCCTCTGACCATGCCTCTAGGATGTACTCCTGTACATTAGATGAGGTCCAATCAGCGACTGGAAAGCCCCAGTGGACAGGAGCCGCTGACTTGACGTTATATGCTGGCCAGACCAAGGTTCACAGCGTACCGCTCATTTTCCGTGAGTCTGGTGACGTCGACGTTACCGCTTGCGTATTGGGGGTTAGCACAGAGCGATTTGAACTCGTCTCCTCTGACACAGATATTGACATCCCCATTCATCCACTATGGTGGATCCAATCAAACAAAAAGATCAAGTCAAGATTGCTGAAGCATGGCTCGGGCATGTCAGTTCACATACTTCCCAAACCACCAAAGATGGAAATCAGCCTACCAGACATTCGCGATCAATACTATACCGACGAGCAGGTCACTCTTGCGATTGAGATAATCAATCAGGAAGATGAGGATACTGAAGCTGTTCTCGAAGTTCGAATCCTTGGTCGCTCGAAAGACTCTCTCGGGTATACCTGGGTTGATCGCCCAGCATCGTCACCGATGAAGGAAGTCCCGCCAGCGCTTGATGGCTCGACCGATGTGGATCTGCCGGGTCATGTAGTCGGCAAACTCGCTCAAGGGGCACGCACAACAGAGAGAATACGCTTTACTGCCCCGGCCGACCCAGCAGACTACGCGTTAGAAGTCAAGGTTTTATACCACGTGCTCAGCGACCGCGATATACCTATCTCCAAGATCATGGTGGCAGACATAGTTTTCAACGCCCCCTTTGAAGCCAGCTACGACCTAAACGCACGTGTGCACCCCGACCCATGGCCCAGTTACTTTGAGCTCCAAGAAGCCGAAAGCAACGTCAGCCCCGAATCGTCCGATGCATTCGGCATAGCCCAGAAATGGGGCCTACGTGCCAAAGTCGCCTCCTTCGCCGACGAGCACCTCATCGTCAGCGACCTCGCCGTAGAAGTCCATAGTATCCACGGGGGTGCCACCTGTGACGTGACGAAAGAATTCGAAATTAGCGAGACGTGCATGGAGCCTCAAGTCCTCAGCGAATGGAGCTTCAGCCTCGACATTCGCAAAAACAATCTCGAAGAACGACGCTCCACCGCTCTCGACACCACACTCAACATAACTTGGCAGCGTACTTCAGACCCTTCATCCCTCCCCGTAACCTCTTCCTTGCCTATCCCCCGCATCCAGATCCCCTCATCTGAACCCCGCGTCCTAGCCCGCTCCCACTTTTCCCCCTCAGTCCCCTCCCTCATCCACCTCGACTACGTCCTCGAGAACCCAACCATGCACTTCTTAACCTTTGAACTCGCAATGGAAGCCAGCGAGACTTTCGGGTTTAGTGGTCCCAAGTTGCGTACGCTGCATCTTTTACCTATGAGTCGTCAGACGGTCAGATACAACTTGCTGTCGAGCGTCGAAGAAGACTGGATTACGCCTAATTTGAAGGTTACGGATCGATACTTTAATAAGACGCTCAAGGTGCAGGGTACGGAGGGGATGAGGGCGGATAAGAAAGGAGTGGGGATTTGGGTTCCCGGTGGGGACGTAGAGAGCGAGGGTGGAAAGGCAGAAGAAACGGTGGAGGGTTAAGGTGAGAGGTTCAGTGTAGACGTAGGAGAAAGGATGAAATGTATCCAAGTTTTTTTCTTATTCGTTGATTACAACCATGCTGATATACATAAATCCAAATGCATCAAGCTATATCCCCTTTTCATACCCCAACCGACGATATATGCAAAAAAAACCCCCTCAACACTCAAATCCCTCCTACTCCGCCTTCCCCCCTTCCCCTCCCCAACCCCACAGGATCCCTCCCGGGACTCCTCCAATACCGCCATAAATCCGCATCATCGCCCCATTCCCCCACCGCATGCTGCAACCCTTCCTTCCTCTTTTCAGCATCGCTACTAGCGCCGGTCGGAAAAAGCCTGGTGATACGCGGCGTTAACATTGTAATATCTATATTGATCTGAGACGTCATCAGTTAATGCGGTGTTACTGGATGACGACGGGGTAGAAGGAGAAAAAGGGAAAGCATACTGTTGGTGGCTGTGGCCAATGTCGGAGTAGATTGGGGTTTCGAAGTCGGTGGCTGCGTGGGAGAGGATGGTGAGATCTATGGGGGGGATTTGGGTTGAGGAAGGGG